TTATAAGAATAATTCTTTAATGCAAAGATACTTCTGTTTTCTCAGCTAGGTTATGATGACTCAGATGGTTAGTATCATAAACTGCTGCTCATCGCGGCATACTGCTAAATTATGCAGTATATAAACAAAATAAATTTTGTTTATGTTAGGAGTTGCCCTGGTAATGTGCTTATCCAATTTACGTATTTCTCAGCATTCAACTTTGAATAAAAATTCATTTGAAGCATGCCCCATGAATCAAGCACAATGCTACAATTTAAGGTGACGGTATCGTATATGGAATAATATTCTCAATTAAAGATCCTTCTGATTTCACAGCTTATGTTATAGCATTACGGCAAATTGCTTCAATTATGCCACAAAAAAATCCTGCTCATGTTGTGAGTCGCCCCTGTATCGTGCTTATCCAATTTACTTATTTCTCAGCATTAAATTCTGAAGAAAAAATTCATTTGAAGCATGCCCCATGATTCAAGCACAGTGCGTCAATTTAAGGTGACGGTATCGTATATGGAATAATATTCTCAATAAAAGATCCTTCTGATTTCACAGTTTATGTTATGGCATCACGGCAAACTGCTTCAATTATGCCACAAAAAAATCTTGCTCATGTTGTGAGTCGCCCTTGTATCGTACTTATCCAATTTACGTATTTCCCAGCATTCAGTTTTGAATAAAAATTCATTTGAAACATGCCCCATGAATCAAGCACAATGCGTCAATTTAAGGTGACGGTATCGTATATGGAATAATATTCTCAATGAAAGATCCTTCTGATTTCACAGCTTATGTTATGGCATCACGGCAAACTGCTTCAATTATGCCACAAAAAAATCTTGCTCATGTTGTGAGTCGCTCTTGTATCGTGCTTATCCAATTTACGTATTTCCCAGCATTCATTCAATTCATTTTTGAATAAAAATTCATTTGAAGCATGCCCCATGAATCAAGCACAATGCGTCAATTTAAGGTGACGGTATCGTATATGGAATAATATTCTCAATGAAAGATTCTTCTGATTTCACAGCTTATGTTATAGCATTACGGCAAACTGCTTCAATTATGCAACAAAAAATCTTGCTCATGTTGTGAGTCGCCCTTGTATCGTGCTTATCCAATTTACGTATTTCTCAGCATTAAATTCTGAAGAAAAATTCATTTGAAGCATGCCCCATGAATCAAGCACAGTGCGTCAATTTAAGGTGACGGTATCGTATATGGAATAATATTCTCAATAAAAGATCCTTCTGATTTCACAGCTTATGTTATGGCATCACGGCAAACTGCTTCAATTATGCCACAAAAAAATCTTGCTCATATTGTGAGTCATTAAAAATAAAAATTCATTTGAAGCATGCCCCATGAATCAAGCACAATGCGTCAATTTAAGGTGACGGTATCGTATATGGAATAATATTCTCAATGAAAAGTCCTTATGATTTTACAGCTTATGTTACGGCATCACGGCAAACTGCTTCAATTATGCCACAAAAAAATCTTGCTATGTTGTGAGTCGCCCTTGTATCGTGCTTATCCAATTTACGTATTTCTCAGCATTAAATTCTGAATAAAAATCCATTTGAAGCATGCCCCATGAATCAAGCACAATGCGTCAATTTAAGGTGACGGTATCGTATATGGAATAATATTCAATGAAAGATCCTTCTGATTTCACAGCTTATGTTATGGCATCACGGCAAACTGCTTCAATTATGCCACAAAAAAATCTTGCTTATTGCAATTTACGTATTTCCCAGCATTTAACTTTGAATAAAAATTCATTTGAAGCATGTCCCATGAATCAAGCACAGTGCGTCAATTTAAGGTGACGGTATCGTATATGGAATAATATTCTCAATGAAAGATACTTCTGATTTCACAGCTAATGTTATGGCATCACGGCAAACTGCTTCAATTATGCCACAAAAAAATCTTGCTCATGTTGTGAGTCGCCCTTGTATCGTGCTTATCCAATTTACGTATTTCTCAGCATTAAATTCTGAATAAAAATTCATTTGAAGCATGCCCCATGAATCAAGCACAATGCGTCAATTTAAGGTGACGGTATCGTATATGGAATAATATTCTCAATGGAAGATCCTTCTGATTTCACAGCTTATGTTATGGCATCACGGCAAACTGCTTCAATTATGCCACAAAAAAATCTTGCTCATGTTGTGAGTCGCCCTTGTATCGTGCTTATCCAATTTACGTATTTCCCAGCATTCAACTTTGAATAAAAATTCATTTGAAGCATGCCCCATTAATCAAGCACAATGCGTCAATTTAAGGTGACGGTATCGTATATGGAATAATATTCTCAATGAAAGATCCTTCTGATTTCACAGCTTATGTTATAGCATTACGGCAAACTGCTTCAATTATGCCACAAAAAAATCTTGCTCATGTTGTGAGTCGCCCTTGTATCGTGCTTATCCAATTTACGTATTTCTCAGCATTAAATTCTGAAGAAAAATTCATTTGAAGCATGCCCCATGAATCAAGCACAGTGCGTCAATTTAAGGTGACGGTATCGTATATGGAATAATATTCTCAATAAAAGATCCTTCTGATTTCACAGCTTATGTTATGGCATCACGGCAAACTGCTTCAATTATGCCACAAAAAAATCTTGCTCATGTTGTGAGTCGCCCTTGTATCGTGCTTATCCAATTTACGTATTTCCCAGCATTCAATTTTGAATAAAAATTCATTTGTAGCATGCCCCATGAATCAAGCACAATGCGTCAATTTAAGGTGACGGTATCGTATATGGAATAATATTCTCAATGAAAGATCCTTCTGATTTCACAGCTTATGTTATAGCATTACGGCAAACTGCTTCAATTATGCCACAAAAAAATCTTGCTCATGTTGTGAGTCGCCCTTGTATCGTGCTTATCCAATTTACGTATTTCTCAGCATTAAATTTTTCATTAAAATGCATTTAAAGCATGCATCATAAATGAAGCACAATGCGTGAATTTAAGGTGACGGTATCGTATATCCAATAATATTCTCAATTATGCCGCAAAAAAATCTTGTTCATGTTGTGAGTCGCCCTTGTATCGTGCTTATCCAATTTACGTATTTCTCAGCGTTCAATTTTTCATTAAAATGTATTTGAAGCATGCATCATGAATAAAGCACAATGCGTCAATTTAAGGTGACGGTATGTTATATCGAATAATACTCTCAATTATGCCGCAAAAATATCTTGTTCAAGTTGTGAGTCGCCCTTGTATCGTGCTTATCCAATTTACGTATTTCTCGGCATTCAATTTTTCATTAAAATGTATTTGAAGCATGCATCATGAATAGAGCACAATGCGTCAATTTAAGGTGACGGTATGGTATATCGAATAATATTCTCAATTATGCCGCAAAAAATCTTGTTCAAGTTGTGAGTCGCCCTTGTATCGTGCTTATCCAATTTACGTATTTCTCAGCATTCAATTTTTCATTAAAATGTATTTGAAGCATGCATCATGAATAAAGCACAATGCGTCAATTTAAGGTGACGGTATGGTATATCGAATAATATTCTCAATTATGCCGCAAAAAATCTTGTTCAAGTTGTGAGTCGCCCTTGTATCGTGTTTATCCAATTTACGTATTTCCCAGCATTAAACTTTTAATTAAAATTCATTTCAAGCACAATACGTTAATTTAAGGTCAAGGTATCTTATATTGAATAATTCTCTCATAGAAATAGCCCTCATAGGCTTAACTTGCTAGGTTATGTTCTTACTTTTGTGATAAGTGGACTCCGCCACTGTATATTATTTTAACACCACCGAGCAAAATATCAAATTAATAGAATAATATGGAAGAATTGAATACAGACTTGCTTGTGATACACGTGCATTTGTTGTAATATCGACTCACGCATCAACTCTGTGACATATAATATTGTGCAAATGTAGGTTGATTATTTTATAACCGAATAATCATTTTACGGCCACATATTAGATTTAATTTATTAAGAAGCCTTATCAAATATTTAATCAACTCAATGTTTACTTTACAACAAGTTTATGTAAGCTTTTGTATTGCATCTAAATCTATTGTCATTGGTTCAGTAGTTTTTAAAGTGCGACAGATGTCGCTAGTGGTTGACTGTGGTGGCTGTCTGAGCTTTGCACTATACAAGAAAAAACACATTTCTTCTGCGGGGTGTTGCTTAGTACTGTGCTTATTTCAATTTACCTATTTCTCAACATTCAATTCTACGTCGTTGGCGTTCCATTGGATGTTCCATCGGTATCAAGCGCAATGCTCTTTTATAAATACGATATCTCATAAAAATATATGCTCGTCATTTTTGTATTGTGCTTATCCAATTTACGTATTTTCCAGCATTCAACTTTTTATTAAAATTCATTTCATGCACGATACGTTATATTAAGGTCACGGTATCTAATATTGAATAATTCTATCATAGAAATATGCCTCATAGGCTTACCTTGTTAGGTTATGTTCTAACCTTTGTGATAGGTAGACTCCGCCACGGTACATTATTTTAACACCACCGAGTAAAATATCAAATTATTAGGATGATATGGAAGAATTAAAAACAGACCTTCTTGTAATACACGAGCATTTGTTGTAAGTGTCCTCAGGTTTGATTTGTCCGGCACGTGGTCATAGAGTATTGCAGCTTCGTGTAAGATTTCTTTTTTATTCTGCTCTAAACACTTATGTTATCACTATTGTTTTTTTAACAAACTGCTTATTAATCACACTACGGTTTAAAAAATTAACAATTCTTTCATAGAAATATCTTTTTGATGACTCTACTTGTTAGGTTATATCCTAGTGTACTGTATAAAACACTGATATAATACACTCACTGTATAAAACACTGATATGTTCGTGTAATTTAAGTAACCGTCACTAATTTTTATTACAATTCATGATGTTTGACAAAGTTCTACTTGGTTAAAAGATTTTATAAATTTATTACGTATTATTTCATGTTACCGTGAACTCTTTTTTAGAAATGAATGCAATGTCGGCCAAAATTTTTGTGTTATCCCCACCTCGGCGTAGGATTAGCGCCCGTCCTGCATGGACACTCAATGCCATAAGAATCGCTGTCTTCATCATGACCAACTTAACATTGCAGAAATACGTACGACCATGCCGGGAGCTTTGAAAGTTACAGCTTTTCAAAATATAAAAATATAGAGTTGCAACTAATATTAAGTATAAAATGCGTATAAACATATTTTACAAACGCAAGAAAATCAATAATATAGTTGAATTTGAATATGAACTATTTATTATTAATTTATATTATGCTTAATTTCTTAATTTTATTCATATCTTGTATAATATGCTTACGATATTTTATTGCTGAATACGGTATGCACATATTTATGGTAACATGCACGTTTGATTTAGTGCTTTTTTAATTCACTGTTAGGACTATTTATTAATTGTGTACGTTTCTATTCGTCTAAAATGTTATTTTAATAGATGTAAATGATCTTCTTTAGAAGCACCATTTTGCCTATAAAATTTTCATTTTTTATTTGGATATTTGTCTTCCAGATGTGATTAAATCAAAACAAATATATAGTATGGGAAACAAATACTGTGTGCCAATGATAGTAATGAAAAAATACATATTCAATTTAAAAATATGTATTTCATTATAAATGTAATTTACACTTTAAGGGTGTTTTTACCTTCTGGTATACACTTTTTCATAAATTAGATACTCTGTTACAATTGATTTTGTTTATAATAGTATGTAAAAAAATATAAAAGTTATTTGCAATTTTATATGCATGTCATGTGCATGCCTTGTATTTGGATCTAATTAGCTCAGAATCTTTCATAAAAACATTAAAACTTTTCATTTCTAGAAAGAGAATACCAAGGGAAATATTCACAGTACAGAAAAATTTTTAGAGCAAATAATGCTTAAATATATAGAAAAAAATATGAAATTAGCTAATTAGCTCATTAAAGCAGACTACTGCGAAATTTATATCTAGCATTTATAAATTGAAATAAAATTGGAGTGTTTGTTTCTAATATGGAAATAGTCAACTTTTATACATTTGTAAGTGCGCTAAACCAAATTAACAATCTGTAAGTTTTTGCCTGTCCATCAGTTTGTTTTCGCTAATTTTTGAAACGGCTGGATCGATTTTGAAAGGATTTTCATTTGCAGTTGGCTGATGTAATTGGGCGTAATTCAGACTACTTTTATTTCAGAGAAATAAGTTTTTAAGTAGAATTTTATTAGTTAATTTTTTTAAATTTTTCAGTTAATTTATCTTAATTGTAAACATTTTAAAAATCTTATGTATTTTTCATTTAATAAATCTTATAAATCTTGCCTAATTTTTTAAACTATTATTACATTTTTAACGGATTATATATTTTTATAAGTTATATATTAGATTAGTTGATATATGGTATATTAGTTTGGTATAATATTCGAGCTTTACATCAATAAAAATTGTATGAATATATTTTTTAAAAAAATCATAAATCTATACGTTTCTGCTAACATCTTAGCCTTCATTCAGTGGAATATACAGTCAATAATAATAATTATACTAAGTAAATAATTTGTAATAGTAAATAAAAATAGTGTTTTGCTGGAATGCCAAAATATATATATTTTACAATAGAGCACATTTTAATACCATAGTCCAATAGTGTTGCATTTATTATGGATATCAAATTGTAGGTGTTTTTAAATTAGTTTATTTGTATTGTTCATCAAATTATTTACTTATTGTTAGTTTAATTATTATAATTGACAATATATTTTATTGTATGAAAGCCAAGATGTTATTTGAAACGAATGGATTTAAAATAAATGTTTAAAAAAGCATTTATACAATTTTTTATTAATGTATCACCCGATATATATATATATATATATATATATATATATATATATACCGAATGTATTCTGAGTGGATTACTAGATATTAATTTGGAAATATGAACAAACAACACTCTTTTTTCCACTAATTTATTAAATAATAATTTTCACAAACGTTTCGAGACTAGGTTTGTCTCATCATCAGTGTGTTATAATTTAAAATTTAAAATATGGAAATTTAAATTAGCATTATGTCTTATCCGTTACAAGTCGTTCAATATACAGTATATTGCCCCACCAACGATCGTCGGTGTCCGAATTCTCTATTCAATTTCAAGTGGTTAGTCACGCAATATCAGATAGGAAAGGTAGGATTAGGGTCCAGTTGAAAAATAGATGTCGTTAGGAGAAAAAATATTCTATGAAATAAGACGGTTTGCTTATAAAATTTGTTTTAAATTATTATAATTAAAAAAAATATGTACATATATATATACATATTCATATATACAAATGCATACCCATAGTACAAAACTAATTTAGGTTTCTTATAACTTATAATTATAACACACTGATAATGAGGTAAACCTAGTCTCGAAACGTTTGTGTAAATTATTATTTAATAAATTAGTGCAAAAAGAGTGTTGTTTGTTCATATTTCTAAACTTATATATATATATATATATATATATATATATATATATATATATATATATACGAAAGATATTCAATCCCTGTACAATACGAATTAGCATAACAATAACTAAAATGTAAATAAATCATAAAAAAATGATATCCCTCGTGTTGCAAACACCTGTAATAAAAACTTTCCTCTCTTTTTGATCGCAGATCAAAGCCCTGGAGTACTTCCATTTTACTCCATCATATTTTCGATGCGTTTAGGTATTTTATGAAGTAATATTCCTGTGATAAAACGTCGTTGACTATATATGGCTCTATCGATTTGTCGTTGTTCCTCTTTACTCTTTGTGAAGCGTTTTGATGTATTTTATTTGTCCGCGTTTTCAATTTCCTACAGGTACTCTGAGGTAGGTGCTCCCAGTGCGCTGTCGCGGAATCTTGATTGACGGCGGGATAAGGCGCTTTGAATGAATTACAATTTACAATTTACAATTTACAATGCATCATACATTATTTATGCGGTGGCTGTTGTTCAGTTAAGTTTGACAAGGATTCGAACAGTACTTAATCGAATTGCTCGATTTTAATGGATTAAACTTTCACTGCATCCGATCTGATGAATTAAATTCACTTTCGTTTGTATTGTGCAATTCCACAAAACACTAAAACAAATAGATAAGAGTAGAGTATATTAAATTTTATATGTTTAGGGGTTACGAACTATTTGTTCTGTTTAACCAGGTAAAAGGGATGTCACTTCAAACACTGTATCCGAATTTTTCTTTTTTTTTAACTTCCCGTAGGGTAAGTTATTGTAATGGGCCAAAAATCGAAATTGAAATTTTTACATTTCTCGACGTTTTGAAGGTTTCTGAACATTTTGGCATACCTCAGAAAAAATGGATGTGTGTGTGTGTGTGGGTGTATGTATGTATGGATACAAATTTCCAGTCACGTTTTCGTGCGCACGGATCAACCGATTTGAATGGTTCAAAAAACATTCGATTTCTATTGATAGGGAGAAGAGCTGATTAGTTTTTGGCAAAGGCAGGTCTAGCCATTTCGGAGATACGGAGCAAAGAGTGCAGAAAATAGAAATCGAGTTTTTGAGAGAACGGAGTATCCGATTTGAATGATCTAAAAAACATTCAATTAGTAATGATTGGGAGAAGTGTTTATTAGTTTTTGGCAAAGGCGGGCCCAGCCATTTTGAAGATACGGAGCTAAATATATAAAAAATGGCAGTTTTTGAAAGAACTAAACGTCCGATTTAAATGATTCAAAGAACTTTCTGTTTGTCTTAACAAAATAATTGATTTTGGAAAAAAAAATTTGTTCCCATTTTTTTTTTTTTTTTTTTTAGTTTTTTGTATGTCGAAAATATTTCAGATTTTATTTTTAATTCTGACTATAGTTCTAATATACTTTACAAATAATTTCAACTCTTCAATTCAGTTTATATAATTCTTATAAATATTAGACAATGTTACAATATTTATAATAATCTATTTGAAAACATTCAGTATTTCTCGAACATTTCGTTACGGTACGGAAAGTTCTAGCAATTTGCCTTAAGGCACGATGCCATAATTGCCTCAAGACAGAATTCCACTTACAGCTAGTTTAATTTTATTTATTTTATTTTCAGAATACATGACAATTCTATGAGCTATTTGGCTTATGTCATTCACTCGCACACATACACACACTCTCAAATACACATATAAATTTATCGGATAAATATTACATTCATATTTAGAGAATCACTTCAATAAGTGATTTTACTATTCTGTTCATATAAGATTGTAGTAGTTCTAAGGTTTCTCCATATTATCTTTGGCCAGCTTTTTCTTCAGTCTTCTTGTCCGAATTGAGCTCATGACGAGTATATTTGTCAATTACAGTAAGTTGCGCTGCTAAGATATTAGATGAAAGTTATGGGTTTATTTTAAAAAAATAGTTATAACTACAACTTTTTAAAATAAATATGTATTACATACATAGTCCTTAAGGGTATATATATTTTTGCCATTTTTTTCGGACGGAAGGAAAAGTAATAAAATCATGATATTAAAAATGGTTATTTATTCCACTTTAAAATAACAAAATAAAATATAATCGTAAGAAAAAAATTAAAAACGGCGGTACCACAGCCATTTTGGCGATCCGCGTCAAATCCGCGGCACGCAAAATAATTACAACAATATTAATTTTTTTCATTCTATCGAATGAAATATTTTTCCTCATATTCTAAAAGCTTCAAAATATATTTTAAGTCTAAAAATTTTTTTTGGTTTTTCGAAAAATCTACAGTGGTGTAACCCTGTAAAATAATAACGGATTAAATTCAATAAAATATTGCATGAATGTAAATGTAAAAATAGTTTTATGAAAAGCAAAAACTATTTTTAAAATAAACGGTAGAAAATGTTGTGTTAATATTCAACTTACTGATTAAGTATATTATTTACATGTTTTGCGTAGTTTATGCAACTTGTCTTAAGGAAAAATGCTAATTGCAACTACTTATTTTTAATTACGAATTCTTCTCACTTAATTTCGTGTCCTCAATTTTTTTTAACCATGTTGGCTTTTTCAGAATGTATTGTTTTTTATCAAAATTTTTAATTTGAATA